CCCCAAAACCCCAAAACCCCAAAACCCCAAAACCCCAAAACCCCAAAACCCCAAAAATTCCAATTTTTTTGAAAAATATAAAATGAGCATACAAGATCACAGGCCAAATGAAATAAGGAATGAGATATTCAGGAAAAGCCTAGCCAGGCTTTCTTCCCCACTAGAAAAGAAGCCTTTCCGGAAGGGCTCTGTTAGGTACAACTTCAGGGATAGACCTTGGGGTGTGAAATCGCAACAAGATCTCCGAAGATTCAGTAGAGAAAGCAGTAGCTCAAGATCCTCTGGTGGTTTTGGCAAGAACAAAGAGAGACTGGAAAGTTTACTTAATGTTAAATAAGGTCCAGGCAAGACCATTCTCTATTGAGAGCTATTTCAGACAAGCTAGATCAACAACACGGAATTTTGGAGCTATGACGAGGTATGTTGAGGATTTTTTAAGAAATTTTAACGAGAAAGTTTATGTAGAGATTATGCTAGAATACAATAAGTGTTGAAAAATCTGTCATAGAGGTTTACACAGAGTTAAGGATAGATTTTTGACATCGTTACATTATCAAATTTCATATCTAAATTCTTACTTCCATGAAATTTTTCAGAATCTTAGAAGAAAGTGGAAAATTATTCCAGTGGTTCCAATGATGCCACATAACTGTTTATATTTTTCAGACTAGTATCTGAGCAAATAAAAATGCTCCATGAAGAAGGTTAATATATTATAAGGATGAAATAGTTGGAAAGCTAAATTTAGTCTATTGGTTAATAATCATTTCATGGTGAATTAATAGATCTTTGTAATAATTTAGATTGTTTGAATGCATAATAGAGTCGAAAGTGTTAATAACTGGTGACGAAATTATGTCTTTGATTAAGGATTAAATGAATGAAACCAATTATCTCACTTAAAATCTTTAGTCAAACCAAGGCTTGGACCACCATCCCTCAAAAGGTATTCCAAAACCAAGGATATTTACCCAGAAATGCCCAGTCGCCTCGGTACTCCAAAGCTGGCTTCATATCACGATTTGGGAATGTGAAGAATGGTGGGTACTCAAAGGGTTTAGCTGCTGCGTTTAGTAGTGATGTAGATAGTACCTCATCTAAAAGCCGTTTAGCATTTACTGTACAAAATAAGTCTCCCAGATCCAGACAAAAGGAGAACTTCGGAGATGGACTTAGGAAGAAAAAGAAAATGTATAAGCAGATTTTATCGAAAAGAACAGACAAAGTATGTAGGTAAGTGAATGGTGAGGGATCGATTAGATAAAGGAAGATTTTTAGAGGGAGTAGTTAAATATTTAATTTTAGAACCTCCAGGAAGTATATAAAGAGCGTTCAAAAGAGAAAACCACCAAAACAAATAAAACTAAAACAAACTACTAAACCTCTTAACCGACAAGTATTGACTACAAACCTATAAACCCAACACAAAACCACGAATCCAAATTCGAAGTAAGCCCCAAACCTCACCACCACAGAAAATAATGCAACAAATGATAAATAAGACCCCAAAACTAAACTCCCTCCTCAAGGACGACCCTTCCCTAACCCTCAAATCCACCCCCTCCCTCGATCACCCCACTCACCTCCCAAAGATGCTCTCCCAGTTAAAAACCCACAAATTCACCCCTAAATCGCCTATTTCTCCCTCCAAAATTCCAAAATCCAAAATTTCCCCGTACAAAAAATCCTTAATAGACTCCAAGCTTGACTACTACAAGTCTAAATTTTTTGAAATTCTGGAAGCACAGGAAATTCGCCGTAGGAAGGGGGAAGAGGATAGAAGAGTTAGGGAAGGGTTAAAGGCAGCTGGGTTGGAGTCAGAGGAGTAGTTTTGAATGAGGTCAACAGTTTCATAAGATTCTTTCTATGAAGATTTATAGGATTTCATAAGTTCTCGAACTCTAGCCAAGAAGACTTCTAATTTCTTCTCACCATAATCTCCTTAAATGCCATTAAATAATCCTATTCAACAAATGAATTCCTTCTTGGGGTTTTGGGGTTTTGGGGTTTTGGGGTTTTGGGG